CTGAGTACGCCACGCAGGTGATCGAGTTGCGCGAGTGGGCTTCCCAGGTCTTCGACCGGACGCCGCCTTCAGCTGCGCGGGCTGATCCAAGTTCAGCGCTTGCTGACCCACAGGAGCAGATACGTACCCTTTCTGCTGGTGTTATGGTGCGGCTCGGGGAGGTCATAGAACGGTACCAGGGTCGGTTGATGGGTGTTCATTCTGGATTCAGTTATTAAACCACTACCTGGGACATATCTCTATCTGTTTGATGAATTGGAATCTAGAATTGAAGCATATTATGGAATATGGACAGTATTCAGTCACTTCACGTCGAATACGTCAAAACAGCCATGGCGCGCCTTGGTCTTTACATTAGAAAGAAGACTGTAGAGCTTTCTGCTCCCTTCCTTCTGAAAATGGCATTCATAGGTATTATTATGATCACTTAAGCGTAGATTGACCCATTTACCCTGCTTTAGCAAAGCTACCCTTCTCGATAGCCGCCTCCATCATTCGATCACCACTAATGATGCTCGTGGTACAGATAATGATCTTCCTCCGCGGAGCCTCTTGCGCAGCAATGAAGCGCAACGCGGCGATCTCGGTGAATGTGATACCACCCAAGAAAAAGACATACACAGTCTTTGTGGCAAAGTTGCCACTCAGCGTTTGACGAGCCCGCACAGCCTTATCATCACCCTTCTGGACAATGCTGAAAGTCGCACCGCGGGCACTCTTGACAACGTCCTCGAATCCAAGCCAGCCAGGTGAGGTTATATTAGCGGTATTCAGCGCCGCAGCCGGTGTACCTCCCTTGATTAGCGAGACCATATAGGACTTCTGTAACACGCATTGAACCAGTCGGACGCTGAGGGGCGCAAAGCCACTGTACACGTAAGAAATATCGTTCGGATCCTTCTCGCTAACCTCTTCGATGACAAGACGGAGGTTCTTGCGCAGGTATCCGTAGTTCGTCTTTGATCCTGCTTGCGCGCCGGATGTAGGGAGGAGCATTGTCGTGGCCGAGGATCTAGGCTGAAGGAGTTCCATTTTCTCTAGCGCCCAGAATGTGAGGAGGTGCTGATGGCCGTACGCTTGGACAACCTGTCTCTTGAAACTCTCCAAGTCGCGCGGACGGAGACCGCCAGACATGCAAGACTCTAAGCACAGGAGCCGTAGCACAGTCTTTAGCGGGACGTCTCGAGCTATAAGCTCTTCGATTGTCTCGTGCTGATATGTGGAGTCGGCACCAGCTGCGTTGTTCTGTTGGACTTCTAAAGTTTTGCGGAAGGTTTCGGAGCGGGTGAGTCGCATTATTTCCTCTGCGAGGTTGGTATGGGTTCGAAGACTCTGGTGTTCCAGCTGGTAGGTTGGTAATCGATTGACAAATTCCCGAAGCTCGCCTGTCGTTTTAGCTGTGTGGCGGCTCTCATACTCATTTTCTAAGCGGCGTGCCACCTTATTCAGGATATCACCCACGATTGCAAAGTTTGCATCTCGCAGTTGGCTGAACAACTGATCCGAGGCATCAAGTTGGATCTTTCTCTTCAGCCCCTGCTTGGCTTGCTGGGGTGTCTTGGATGACTCTTGGGACTGTGGTGTAGGAGCAGGGCCGACAATGCTCGTATCAACGTCTGCTTGGTTGTTCTTTATGCCGACATATTCATCAATTAAGCCTTCATAGGTGAGCTGTGTGAGAAGAGGAGTCCCAAAGTCCACGTCACGGTCTATGATGATCAAATTCTCTACACTTGCACTTGGCAACAGCCCTCGGGCAGAGGGATCAGCCAATCCGGAGCTCTCCTCCGTATCGAGTTCTTTTCTCATGCGCAGCAGGAGATCTGCCAGGCGCCGGGCATTGTCGCCTTTTCCGACAATGCGTGGGAAATAGCCATGGCGCTGCTGGGCACCCATCAGAGCCTTAGCGGCATGGAAGATACATCCGGGAGCTTTGTGCTAAATAGCAAGGTCAGAAAATGTCTCATTCAAAGTTAGCAACCTAGCAACTTACCAAGTACAAGTCTCCAAACGATTCATCCAGTTCTAGTGACAAGATATCTTGTTCTAGGGGCATAAAATAGAGAGGAAGCTCGGCGATATTCACGTCGCCGATGATTCCCGCCTCTTCCAAGACCGCATTGCTTACAAGGGTCCGTCTTGGAGCGAAGAAGATAGAGAACTCATGTTCAACGTTCCCATTATTCTGCAGGCGTTTGATTTGTTCTAAAATGGAAATGTCAGCTCATCCTGATGGCACTCAATCAGAGATAGCAGGAAAGGGCCCTAATGAAACGAGCTTGAAAATGTTGTAAAGATAGATATCGATATAGGGAATCTTTCTCCAGATTACACAGAGTAGAAAAGCCTCTGTATAATCTAATGATAGCCCATCATGGACCCAAGGACGAGATCCAATCTACACCGGCCTAAGCCGAATGGGGGCAAAAAGAAACAATGTCATACCTGCCACAATTCGAACGTGGCGAGCTTTCTCGCCACGAACAAGGAATACAACATTGCGTTGTGATGAGTCGATGTTTGCATTTTCCAGCAAGAAGACCCGGTCCACACCATACTCCTGGAGCACGGAGAACTTGACGAATAGCCCCACTGGGCCGGCCAGCTCCTGGCTTATGACGAGGTTCTTCTTACCCCGGGCCTGGAGAATAGTTAGCGCAGATCAGAATATCAAAGAACTGTACTCACGCCTTCTAGTAAAGTCAGAAGATCCCTCCGCGCCTTGTCCCTAAAATAGTCCGCATCAGACCCCGATAAAGGAGCCATTTCATCCAGGCAGCAGAGGCAATGTTGTGGCCAAAAATAAACAGAGACGTTGAAGTGCCACTGCGCCCGCATTGGGTTAGCACTGCCACTGCTGATGTAACTGCGTAATTTTGGTATTGGTATGGTTATTGATGCCCTATCTGCCCTAACCCATGTGTGTAATATTCGTATTTATCCCGTATGTATATTACCATCAGGCGGCGATCTCGAACATCTAGCTCCCCTGAAGGCGTCTCACATTAATTCTTTCTTTTGTCTCATGTCATTCTATTTCTCCTTTCTTTCTTGTACTTCCCTAAACACTCAATCATTCTAATTTATTCCGCAAATCTTTACAAACCTACATAACACCCCCAACATCATGGGTCTTTTCAAGAAATCCGATGGCGACGATGACTCTAACCGCCGAGCACTCTTCGGCTCGCGAAAGAAGGACAAGAGCCCGCCGACCCCCTCCAACCCTTACGCCAAACCAATTCCAGTAGACCCATACACAAAAGCCAAGATTGGCGCGGGTGTTGCCCCCTTGCCTGCCGACCACCCAGCCGCCAACGGTGGCTCGTCGCAGAGCCCCCACTCCATTCCCTCCGATAACAAGTACTCGGCCAACAAATACGGTAACCAAGGCGGCTACGGCAGTGATCGATTCGGCGGATCCGGCGCAGGCGCTGGCTCTGGCTCGGGCTCCCGTTATGGAAACGGTGGCTACGGAGGTCTGGGCAGCAGCGATCCCAATGACCCCGCGGCCTCAGAGTCCGCTCGTAACGAGCTGTTCGGCAACTCCAACAAGAAGTCACCGGACAACTCGACCACCTCGCCACCACCGTACTCCGAGGGCCAAAATGGTCAAGGACAGAACAACTACGGTGGCGGCAGCAACGAATACAGCATGGCAACCTTCCAGGAGCGACACCTGACAGCGGAAGAAGAGGAAGAGGAGGAGGTTCAGGCGACAAAGAACGAGATGCGCTTCGTGAAGCAGGGTGATGTTGCGTCGACACGAAATGCACTCCGAGCTGCCGCACAGGCTGAAGAAACCGGCCGCGCCACTCTGGCCCGGCTCGGTGCGCAGGGCGAATCAATCCACGACACGGAGAAGAGTCTTGACATGACCGCTATCGAAGGCCGCATTGCGGAGGATAAGGCGAAGGAGCTCAAGACCCTCAACAAGAGCATGTTCGCCGTGCATGTGGCGAACCCGTTCACAGCCTCGCGACGCCGACGCGAGCGTGATGAGAAGGTCCTTAATACGCACCGTGCGGATCGTGAGACCCGCGAGGGCACACGGTCCGAGGCACACCAGACTAATCAGCGTATGGAGCGGGTATTCCGCGATATTGATCGCGATGCGGCGAAACAGGACAAGGGCAAGAAGGCGAGTGTCACCGAGCGTGCCAAATACCAATTTGAGGCGGATAGTGAGGACGAGCAGTTGGAGGACGAAATCGAGCAGAACTTGAATCTGCTCGGTGGTGCTACTGGTCGATTGAACGGTCTTGCCAAGGCCACTGGCAAGGAGCTTGACGAGCAGAATAGACATCTGGAACGTATCATGGGCAAGGTGAGTATTCTGCTATCCCTTCAATATAATATGTGAATATGAAATTAACTGGCTGCAGAGCGACTACGTCGACGATCAGATTGCCATGAACCGGGCCAAGCTGGACCGTATTCGTTAGATACTTGCTTGTTCAAGCAAATGGGGCTGCGGTATGCCTGGTGCTGTCGAGCTCAGTAATTTTCTGCGTGCGCTCTATCCTTTGGGCATGGATCACAAATTGGCGTTGGGGGTGGTTCTGCATTGTCTGCCGTGCTCATATCAGAACCGGCGACTAGGATATTGGTTGAATATCAATTATCATAATATCATCGCGATTTATTCCGACTACATCATACTAGAACTCCATTGGCGTACAACATAGGGGAGTAGGCCGGCTAATGTGCTTCGTGATGCTCAGACGCCTTTAGGTATGTAATACGACCAGGGTAGCTTTTCAACATTTCCCAATAACCCTGATAAATTTGTCAGAGAAATCTTAACATCCAACTACTCAACCCTCGCAATAGAATCCGACGGCGATCGACACCCCGACTGCGGGGAGTGTGGGGGAACACCCGAATGAACCTCCACAGAGCCCTAAGTGTAACAGAGTATAAAAAACACCACACTCCTACTCCAAGAGTCACTTACATCTACAAATCAGTTCCCCTCCATCTCCAAATCTCCAAATACCATGTCACTCCCCCAAAAAACCAATATCCTCGTGATAGGCAGCGGCAACGCCGGCCTCAGCGCCGCCCTCTCAGCCATACAAACAAACCCAGCCCTAAAAGTAACCGTAATCGACAAAAGCCCCGTCTCCTGGGCAGGAGGCAACACCTACTTCACAGCCGGCGCCTTCCGCACCACCCACAACGGCCTCGACGACCTCCTCCCATTAGTCAACAACACCGACGCAACCCAAGCATCCCGCATCGACATCCCAGTCTACACAGAACAAGACTTCACCACAGACCTACAGCGCATGACAGGAAACCGCACCAACCCCGCTCTATCAACAGCTCTAGTGCGCGACTCCCGCGCCGCCATAGGCTGGCTAGCAGCCAACGGAATCCGCTTCCAGCTCTCCTTCAACCGCCAGGCATACGAAGTTAACAACCGAATCAAGTTCTGGGGCGGACTCGCGCTGAAAACCCAAGATGGCGGGAAAGGTCTTATTGAAGACGAACTACGCGCCGTTAGGAATGCCGGCGTGGATGTGTTCTTCGATACAGCTGCCACGGCGCTAGTAGCTGACCCGACCAGCGGGGCTGTTACTGGCGTTGAAGTCGTCAACTGCGGTTCTGGCACGCGCAGCAAGACGACTATCGCTGCAGACGCGGTGATTCTCGCTGCTGGAGGATTCGAGGCAAATCCGCAGCTTCGTGCGCAGTGGCTTGGTCCTGGGTGGGATAGTGCGCGTGTGCGCGGAACACCGTATAATACCGGTGAGATGTTGCAGATTGCGCAGCGGGATGTGGCTGCTAAGGCGGCCGGGAATTGGAGTGGATGTCATTGTGTGGCGTGGGATGCGGATGCGCCGATGGAGTCGGGGAGTCGGGTGGTTTCAAATGAGTTTACGAAGAGCGGGTATCCGCTGGGGATTATGGTTAATCGGGATGGGGAGCGGTTTGTCGATGAAGGGTTTGATATGAGGAATTATACTTATGCGATGATTGGGCGACGGGTGCTTCAGCAGCCTGGACAGGTTGCGTTCCAGGTTTGGGATGGGCGGACTGTGGGCTGGTTGCGTGAGGAGGAGTATCGGGGTGAGGTTGTTCGGCGGATTGAGGGTGAGTCGTTGGAGGAGCTTGCGGTGAAGTGTGCGGAGGTTGGACTTGTTGATCCTGGGCGTTTTGTGGAGAGTGTTAGGGAGTATAATGCTTCTGTTGACGATGATGGGCAGAAGAGATGGGATCCTGCTGTCAAGGATGGACTTGCTACGAAGGGACTGGCTGTCCCTAAGTCGAATTGGGCATTGCCCATTGACAAGCCGCCTTTCCTAGCTATCAAGGTCACGGCGGGCATCACGTTCACTTTTGGTGGACTAGCTGTGAATCCTGAAACTGCGGCGGTCATTTCGGAGACGACGAATGATGAGATTCCTGGATTGTACTGTGTGGGTGAGATGATTGGAGGTATCTTCTATGATAACTATCCTGGTGGAAGTGGTTTGACTTCTGGGACTGTCTTTGGGCGTCGTGCTGGTCGAGCAGCAGCGGAGCAAGCTGGGAAGAGCGGAAGACTAGGACGGTTATGATGCTCATATCGAGAGACTAGATCCAGAAGGTCTAAAATACATTTAACTACGAAGTATAGAAATGTGTTCAGAATGTCTTTATTGATTAGACAATATATCTAGTAGCGACTGTGTAACTGGAACTAGGCCAGGCCCAGTATCAAAACAATAGGAACAATGCTTTCCTATGGGTATCACCAACACCAACCCAAATTTGCACGTTCTTGGAGGCGACTGGGGGAAAGAGAACAATGTGAATGCTTTAAGCCAAGCAGAATGCAGGCCATGGAAGATTAAGACCTCGGGAAGAAGGAAAAAAAAAAGAAGTCAGGGTATTGCCTTCAGAGAATATAAAGGTAGAAACATCGAATCATCACAAGCCCCATGGTATCGAGAAAAAGCAGAAAAGGTGACGCCCAGGTCTAGCGAAAGAATAAGAAATGAAACGAAAGCAACGCGTCCAGCCGGAAACCTCTATGGTCGTAACGTGGGTGAAACCAAGTATGAAAATGAGAAAGAAAAGAAGAAAAAAAAAAAAAGGCTCTCTCTTGCCTGCGGCCCTCGAATAGAACCCATTATACCCATAAATCACAACCCGTTTTGGAAGGAGTATGGTACGTATGAGTGTTTCTCTCTCCGATTAGGAAATGTTTCTCGGGAGTTGATGTAGGAAAGGTGATGAAAAGCTGATCCATGCTGTTGTACAAGGAGAGCACGAGCCGTTTATATAAAACATGCCAACGCGGTTGGTTCATGAACAGGCTCGTGGCATAGGAAGGACGAAGTTGTGGCGGGTGGAAGATCTGCGCTTTGTGTGGGATGGGCATAGGAGAGAGAGGACTCGACGGGATTTCCGCGAGTAGAAGAATGTAGTTGTATGGAGATTGGCAGATTACTCGTCGTCATCGCCAGAGCCGCTGTCCTTCTCACCCTTGTGGACCTTCTTGTGTCGACGCAGGTTTGAGACAACGGAGAAGTGCCGCCCGCAGCCTTCAACATCACACGCGAATGCTAAGAAATATTAGACCATGAAATTCAAATAAATTGGCTTCCAAGAAAACTTACGCTTTTCACCGGTGTGGCTGTACATATGTGTCTGAAGTGAAGACGGACGCGTGAACCGCTTGTCGCAGACCTTGCACTTGTGCTTCTTCTGGGTGTTGGAGGGCATCTTGGAGCTAAATTGGCTCATCATCGATTGCGGGCCAGGAGGAGCGCTACCGGCCAAAAGGCTGGTTGGCCGGGGGAGAGTGCGCGATTCGTATGACTCGGAAGTTGTGGAGCTGTAGTCTGTCACGGAGGAGTCGACGGAGCCCACCGAGGCGCTGTAGTAGGGGTAGTTGCCGCCGGAGGAGATGGATGAGGCGGAAGATTGGGTGGAAGGGAAACCGTAGGAATCGGCTGAGCCTCGCGCACCGCGAGGGCCGGGGCCGTAGATGTTGCGAGGGGTCAAGTCCTGGCTGAGAGCGACCATTCCGCGGCTGGCGTCGAGCGCATCACCAAAAGTGGGGGCCGAAGCTGAAGCGCTAACACGAGCGGCATCTCTGTCGATTATGTGTAAGTTTTTTTTTTTTTTTTTTCGCAACCCCGAAGCATGTAAACAATGCGGACTCGGAATTTCAACTTACGAGTGAGAGATACGACGGCTGTCTTGTGGAGAGGGGTGAATCGGGGCGTAAGCAGCATAGCTGGAAGGCGCGAAGTTGCTCATTGGCGGAGCGGTGGTGTAGGATGGCGCCTGGTCAAAAGTTGTACGCGGTACCTCGTGTTGCATTGCCATTACCTCAGGGCCATAACTGGCGGTCGCGTAGGTGTTTCCTGCCACCATTGATGGGGCGGACACAGGAATGTTGGGGTAGGGCATAGACATGGCGGTGCGGTTCACTTCCTCTTGCTTGACCTGGGCGAGGGCCATGCTGGCGCCATTACCCATGGAAGTCGCATAAACTGGAGGTGTCGAGTGCGACGAAGTGTGTGCCCACGGATCGGTGAATTGTGGTTGAGTGTGGTGATAGACATTGTCGAAACTCATGCCGCCATAGGGGCGGTTCTGATTTTCCATAACCATCGTCATGGGGGATATAGAGTCGCGAATCGATCGCGTGCAGAAAGTTTGTAGAAAAGGGAAGATCGAGAAGCAATAGAGAGATCGTCTGTGTTGATCCGGAGTATAAGAGAAATTGATAGACCCGATGATCAACAATTATATAATTTTTGAAGAAAAAAGAGAAAGCAGTCTGGGGAAGGGGATCGGCGAAGCTTATGAAGGAATATAAGGTGTGTGAGGCATGATCCCATATACTCCAAAGTGCCACTGACGACGTCCCGTCGGGGATTGCAGATCGCTGGAAATGATAATACCGGTATTTATTTTATTTTATTTTTTATTTTATTTTTTCTTTTTATTTGTAGTTTTTTTGGATTTCACATTTTAAGAATTTTCTTTTATTTTTCCCATTTTTATTTTTTATTTTTTATTCAATTTTTATCCTTTTATTATTTATTTTTCTATTCTTTTCATTGGTGACCAAAAAGTGGTCCTCAACGGGAACCAGTTCCTCGGATGTGAAATTACTCTTGATATTTACCAGAAGCATACTAGTAAAGACAATTTACCCTTTTTTCAATCAGTCTAAAATATATTAATTGCTTAAACATTAACTAGGCTGAGGAATGGAAGATCTAAAGAATCGGTTTATATGGATTTAAGTAGGTATGTGGAAATTACTCCGGCATCGGAACGGCAATTATAATGAACCATAGATAATCAGGAATAGAAAAAAAAAAGATTCTTAACAATATAAGGGGAAAGAAAAAGGAGAAAAATCATGAGACCTAAAAAGCAGTCGGTGACCTCAGAATCAAAGGGGGTGTTGACTAGGGGAATGTTCAATTGTTAACTAACCATGAACGCTGAGTGGTCCAACTGTGCCGTGTCTGAGAGAACGAAAAAGGTAATTCCATTAAAAAAGAATAATATATAAGAAAAAAAAGAAAAAAAAAAGGGACTGCCAAGAAATAAATTCACCAAGGTTCGCCCTGAAGGCGCTGTTTCAATGTAGCGGGGCAGATCCCAGTGTCAATGGGTATACCCGTTGCCGTGGGGGTTTAATATGAGTGATTATAGTGATAGTTCTTGAGATTCTATATATTTAAGATTCAAAAACATTCCCTTTTAAAGGAGAATTAAAACAACTATCAACATAAGAGTCTTTTATTATTGGTAAACCACAGGGAAATGTATTTAAATAAAATAAATAAATAAAAATGGCTTAAGCCATGGAGGGGCCTTTGACACGGCACAGAGAGGGTTTAGCGCGCCAACCCGACCTTACATAGAGAGAAGGGGAGCAATCACTAGCCGCCAACATTATTGACTGCATTCTAATTCCATTCGACCAAAAATGCGATGACGTTTGACATCCAAAGTCGAATCCTGTTTCAGAAAATTAGTATTGTATACAAACATAGCACAGAAAGAGAGTATTCCAATGCGGAGGATGTACAGTATCCGATGGAGCTCCACACGGGATAAGGAATGCCACACGAAAGTGAGGACCACTCTATATTATATTCCACGGAGGTTTTCCGACCATTTTCCCTCGGTCGCATAACCACAAACGCACCCGAAATACGAGGTGTGCAATGAGGTCGCAGCGGAACACAAAAAAAAAAAAACGCCTCCTGCACGAAGAAGGAATAAGTTTGAATTCCAACGCTGCCATTAGCCGGGCCATGCGAGCTGTATCACATAGGAAACACCCTTAAGTCTACGCCTAAGGCACCAGGACTAAAAACGGAATTATGACCTCGTATCGAGGGCCTGTGATGATAAGGGACCACCAGGCTGCAAGCCATGTTTTTTTCCCCTCCCCTGGGATTTAAACATCGACGTCAGAGGGGGGCGGAACAGTGCGGCGATGGGGGTGAGTGGGAAAAACGCCGCTTTGGATAGATTAGCGGGCGCGGCTCCCGCAATAGCGCGGTAGAGTGTACGGCTTAAATCGGATATATCACAACTTATTGACCTTTCCTTTTTTTTTCTCCTTATTGGATTGGGGAATTATTCCTAATCCTCGTGCTGTGGAACTCTTGTAGCCGACTAAATTTGGCATTCAATAGTGTATGAATATGCAATAAATAAATTTCCGATATGGATTGGCTATGGTCCCCGAGACTCGGGGATTGATGTCACCCCCGGAGGTCGCTCTACATTGTACGGGTACTCCGTACTTGCGTACAGGGTTGATCACAAGGTACGAGAGGGGGTTGATCGTCGAGTAAGAGCCGAAGAGGCTGAAGAAAAAATTACATAACCTTGAGTTCATCCAATCACATAGACTGTATACAAGTCTCCATAAATGATTGGCGTTTAGCCCGGGCCGGGGAGAAAAGGTATAGCGTGATACCGAAGTACGATGTACATAATATATTGTGTCGATAATGCAAGCATTCAACAATTAGGATCTAACTGCCGCTCTCCTAGGGAGGGCAAAAACATCCATGGAAATCCCAAGGTTCATCTCAGATCTATCTAAGAGGATACCTTGGGACAATCCAAAACCAAAGCCAAAGATAGTGCAGTTGGTTTCAGACTCAGCTTCTCCGCATTTTACTAAACCATGGATCACGCCACGGGATCCTTGGGTATCAGTTTTCTAGAAAAACTTCCACGTTGAAACCAAACTAATAATTAAGCAACTGGTGGGCCATGGACAAACATCGGGATTTCGGTCTTCATTCGCTCGCCTCATAAGGATTCCAGGGTTGTTCGGCCGAATGCAGTATGCGAGTGTGGATGGAAGTGGCTATCCATGGATAGCATAAGTGTGCCTCGAGGGCGACCGTGGTCTCGGGTCACCAGTTAAGATTGGGTAGCGGCTAAGTTTCTATCAAATTACTCCTAAGCACACTTTAGAACTCTAAGTATTATGCTTGCATCTATGTTAACCTCGGGACGAGCTTGTTGGTTTGTATCGTGCCAAACCATGGAAGTTACCTGAGACCATAAATGGATATAT